GGCGCCCTCCACCCTTGTGGACGCCTCGCGGCTCTTCTCCGATATCTTTTCGTTCCAGTATTTTTTATATTTTCCAAAAATAATCTCCGTAAATTTTCAGGTCAATTGGACTCCGTTTGATTTCCTTTTCTGCAAAACTCAAAAACAAGGAGAGAACATAAACTGGCACTGGGCTCTATGTTAATAGGTTAGTCCCAAAATCATATAAAATAGTATATAAATGCATATAAAACATCCAAGATAGATAATATAATAGCATGAAACAATAAAAAATTATAGATACGTTGGAGACGTATGAATCCACTTTGGGGATCTTCTCCTAGGTGGTCTTGGTCTCCATAGGAGTAGGGATAAGTGGATTTGCAAAGCTCTATCTCAATCTTGAGCTATCACAATGCTAACCTTAAAACTTGGGCGGCGGAGTAGTATATATAGTCTAGGGTAGGTAGAGTTACATGGGCTTCGCCCCAAGTCACACACGCAGGCGTGGCCCGAATGATCCGGATGGTGGCCCAGATGATCCGGGCTTCGAGGGTCTGGATGATCCGGGCGACTGTCCTGATCGTCCAGATGCGTCGTAGCCGCTGCAGGGGGTCCGGTTGTCTGGGTCGGCATCCAGACGTCTGGGTTGGTCCGAATGATACGGCTTTGTCAAGGGGTCTGTTGTACTCTTGGTGCACAGTAGCTAGATCGTCCGGGACTTGGTCCGGATCATCCGGGCAGCCTTTGACTTGCTATTTTTTCTTCTTCATCTTCATGTTCTTCTTCCTCCTTTGTTCGGCCTTGCTCCTTAGCTTCTCCTTGGCTAGTTCCTTGGTACCTGAGTATGCAAAGTGTCTTCGCTTGAGGTAGTAGCCATGTCTCCTGTGATTCAAAAGGGAATTGTGAGAGGAGAGATGTCACCTCGGTCTCGAGAGCTCTTGCACGTGCACGTGTCATCGGTCCACTTAGCACTTGGGGAGACGAAGGTAGGTACATGGTGATGACCTTGGGATGCTCCGCATCACTAGAGGTCGCGCGACCGGACAACAGGAAGAAGTTGCGAGATTGTGGTGAAGCGTGAGAATTCCAAGAACGTTTTAACGGAGGTGACAGGGGCCAAATCGTAGCGGCACGGGCTTTGGTGGTGGCATGAAACGAAGGCCGCGCAGGGATGTGGGCAGCGGCGGAAGGGAATGCAAGTCTTGAAATATCCATGACGCTAATATTTTGGGTGGATGGAGGTCGCACTATATCACCTCACCCAACCTTCAGGTTCCCAGGCTCGTGGACTGAATTTGAAGCGTCATTAAAAAATTATGACGATTGAGACATGGACGATGACTTTACTAAAGTGACGTTTTCAACCAAATTCATTATAATAGTATTTGGTATGCCAATCCGTCCGATACAACGACTCTTCACTTGACGAGGGAACACCTATAGGGTAGGCCCAAGGATACGTATGGTCCAGCCTGGGCCCAGACCCATCAATGTTACAGTCCAAGAGATCACCATCCAAGGGGTTCTTCATATAAAGACTAAGGCCCCTCCCAATGCTCCACCTTGTACAGCTGCTAAGCATGCTATGCAGGTGAAAAATCTGACGTGGCATGACAATTAAAAGGAGAGAGATTCATTTGGTGATCGAGGAAGAACCAATGCCAAACACGTGAACCTAGGCAAAACGTTAAAATGGAGCAAGCTCACCAATGCATGAAAGAGTTTAGTAGTTAAGTCATTAAATGAAGGAAGCTTAGCAACAACAAGTTAAGCACATATGCATTGGGGACTATAGTTGCTAAAGTATTTAATGCGCTTAGCACCTCATCTAAACACCTGTCCATTGGAAGAGGTCTAAGTGACAACAGTCGGATTCTACTCCGCAAGTAATCAAGCACCACCAGTCGGTTACCCTGTGGCTAGCAGTAGTCAGATGTCCTACAGTAGGCTACACCCGAGGCTCCCATGATCTCACGGTGCATTGGATGCTGACGTTTCCCAATGGCAATATATCTAATTAAACATTGCAATTACCAGTAGAGTAGTAATGACAATGAAATAGTTGGTTGTGCATGAGACCACAAAGAACATTGATACCGGGCCGTTATGACACCGCTCCTAGCACACTCTATATGATCCGGGAGGAGGACACTAGGATGAGGGTTGAACACTCACATGTAATCTACGTGCAAGAGCAAGAACACCCTTGTGCATACATCTTTGTGCGTATGTATAAATAACCGAATTTTACATCACCAAGGCCCAAAAACAACGCTCCAACATATGATGCAGATGTAATTTCATTTGCTCCAGATTTGCTCTAGACGTAAAATAGGGCACTTGGTGATGCAAATTTGCATCACAAGCTGCGCCCGAGTAAAAAATGCAGTCGATCGCGCAAACCCCTAGCTGCCTCCTGAAACTTCATTCCCTACCCCCCGCACGACAGCAGTGCGACCTCTCGGGTCGTCGAAACCGCCAGCCGCACCCCTGCCGTCACCGGATCGTCCATCACATTCCCGCCGCCGTTGGATTCGCCACTTCCCCGCCGCCCCTCAACCATAAATCGACCAAATGTAAAGCCGCTTCCGTCGCCGCCGTGTCACCCGATTCGAAAGCCACACCCTGCCCGAATCCGCCACCGCACGGCCTCCGCAGCACCATGCCGCACTTCATCCGGCCGTCTCCCATTGACACCATCACCCGCGCTGTCGTCATGACGCCGAAGAAGCCGTCGAAGAGCAAGTCGGGCTTCACGGGGGTGCGGACGCACCCGTCCGACAACTTTGGTGTCAAGTTCCAGTGTAATGGCCATCACTACTAGCTCGGCACCTTTGCGTCCGCCGATGAGGCCGCATGTGCGTACGACGTCACGGTGTGGCGTTCCGACGGCATGACGACGACGCAGAGTTCGGTGTCGAGTCACAAGATGAATTTCTCGAAGATAAAAAACCGGGAGCAGGCGGAATTCGTCGGGCTAAAGAATCTGATCATACGACCGATCGAAGAGAAGAAGAAGAAGAAGTCCGGGATTCACATTGCTCCCGACGAGAGTGACGAAGTGGCGATGGGTAGGTTCGCTCAGGAGAATCCTCAATACTATCGGAACGAGCTGGAGTTTTATTGGAAGTGTGGCGTCGAGAAGGAGGACGAGGCCGGCCCCTCGACGGGATCCTCGTCGAGTCCAACTCGTCGTCGGAGGCTCCACGACTCTGACAACCCCACCATCAACGCGTTCTGCGCACAGTTTGTGAGCGACCCCGTCTAGTAGTTTTATGTTTGGTGATGATCAAGTAGAATCAGTATGAAGTAGTATCGCTATGATCTAGTATGAACTATGTTTGTTTGAAATGAAGATCATACGTTGTAACTTTACATCATCTACTCGAGCACTAGTGCCATATTTCACATCATGCGTTGAAGTTGAACGTTTTTTATGATGTAAAAAAATGTTTTTAATGATGTATATTTTACGCCAACAGTAATGTGGTGATATAAAATACATCATCTGTGAACCAATCTGTGGTTGAACGGTCAGAGGAACAATGGTATCCCCAGCCCACCAAAGTTTAGGAATGTCATAGGATTTCTATAGGATAGGATTTGCATAGGAAAATTTCCTTTGAGGCCCTTTGGTTTGTAGGAATGGATTCCTATTCCTATATAGGATAGGAATCAATCCTTCACATTTTGGAGGAAAAAAATATTAGTTAAGACTCAATGGAAAAATTCTTATCCTATGCATCAAATGACATCTCTTTCTCTATAGAAATTGAGATGCATGTCATCTCATTTCCTATGATTTTCCTATTCCTACAACATTTCTATCCTATGAATCAAAGGAGGCCTTAAGTCCTGGTGCCTGCATTATTCCTGATTTGATTTTCGGGGATGCGCTTTCAGTGGGAGGGAATGTTCTCGTTCACGACGAGACGCCTACGATGACTTTGTAAATCTCAAGATGATATGCAGGCTCAGTCTTTCGAAGGTGCTCATAGGGATAGGGTGTGCATGTTTGCGTTTATGTAGGGGTTAGCGTATGCATGTATGTATGAGCGCTTGTATATGTACTGTGTTAAAAAAAATCGATCATCTAATATGGAAAATGCTCTAACAAGTGGATTTATGGCCCGATGGATCGGAGGGAGGATGTGACTTGCACCGGTAGAGGTATGCTGATGGAACAATATAAACACACCGGCCGTGGGAAATCAAAAGGGCATTGTCATGAATGATGACGATGGATATACGTACGTACCTCACCTGGCGCCAAGTTGGCAATGAAGATGCAGGAGGAGGCGTGGCGAGCATGGGGAACTTGCATCCCGATGCACCGCGGCCAGGGTTTCCGCCCACCATCGCCGGAGCCGTCACAAAAGTGCGCGCCCCCCTCCCCCTCTCCTGCCGGCTTCAAGCACGGGACATGCATGCATGCATGCATGCACGATGTTTCGCTCTCCGCTTGTCGCCGTTGGAGGAAGTCGCCTGCAAAAATTCCTCACGATACTCACAAGAATCTGCCAAACGATATCACCAGCGGCAACTTACTAATTTTGTTTGCAAAACCGTGTCGTGCATGATTGGTTGGGTTATACGTACTCCGTAAATGACCGGCGGGGCGTGGTAATGGAAATTTTCTTGGATTCTGCCGGACCCATCTACTACTGCTCTAGATGAGGACCATGTTTCCCCTTACAAAAACAAAACAAAATTAGTCGGTGAGGACCATCCTGCAGTTGAGCAGTTCAAGAGAACCAGATCCCATCGTATCAAGAAAACGTACTAATACAGTAAGTACTCCCACAAAGCCCCTCAACTTCCTTGTTATTAGCTTCACACTAACAGTAACAGCGAAACATCCAAGGAAATCAACATCGTACGAACTAGAGGGGCTGAACCGTGAAACCACCAAGCACTTAAAAACTCCCACCACCCCCACCTCACTTCCCACACTCCTCCCACCACTTCGCCGCACGCACAACCCAACCCACCACCGCCGGGCCGCACCACAGCACGCGATGGCCGCCGACGCACCTTCCGACGACCCGCTTGCCGGCGGCGGGGACAGCGCCTGCTCCACGCCGTTCGTCAGCGCGCCCTCCAGCCCCACCCGCGACCCCTTCTCCGGCCACCACCACGCCGCGTGCTTCTTCAGCGCGCCGGCGAGCCCCACCCGCGGCGCCAGCAACGAGTTCGCCTGCGGCGGCCTCGACTTTGACTTCGACTTCGACTTCTCGTCCCGCTTCCCGTCGCCCTCCGCCGCCGCCATGTCGTCCGCCGACGAGCTCTTCCACAACGGCCAGATCCGCCCCGTCCGCCTCTCCGCGATGCTGCTCCAGCCGCACCAGCCTCACCTCGCCTCGCCTTCACAGGCCCCCGTGGTGGTGGAAGAGGGCGAGCGCGGCCGCTTCAGGGGCCGCTCCGTGCACCGCAAGGCGCGCTCGCTCTCCCCATTCCGTGCCCACTGGAGGTCACCATCCGCCGCGCCGCCGCCGGAGTCCGACTCCGTCGAGCCGGCGGCCACGCCCCCGGCCTCGCGCTCCTCGTCGTCCTCGTCCACCGCTTCGTCCGCGTCCTTCTCTTCCTCGAGGAGCTCCCGGCGTTGGGGCTTCATTAAGGATCTCCTCCACCGGAGCAAGTCAGACGGCGGCAAGGACAGCCAGCACCCTGCCGCTCCGGCTCCCCCGACTTTCTCTGCCACGCCAAAGAGGAGCCCATCTCCTTCTCCATCGCCGGCGGCGGCCAGGAGTAGAGGGGCAGGGAGGGGCAGGCGGAGGTCGGCGCATGAGAGGCTCTACGAGGCGAGGAGGGCGGAGGCGGAAGAGATGCGACGGCGCACGTACCTGCCCTACCGGCAGGGCGGGCTGCTGCTCTTCGGTTGCATCGGCCTCGGCAACCGCAGCTATGGCACCGCCGTGCACGGCCTTGCTCGGGGTCTCAGCACCGCCACCGCCACGGCCGTCTCTTCAAGGTCATGACAGCACCTCGTATCCATGGACGCATCCGCTGGAGCTGGAGCTGGATGGATGCTGATGTTGTGTGTGGTCGGGGCAATGCAGCGTGAACAAGTGCAAAAGAAATTGCATAGAAGATACCACTAGTAGCAGCGTTCTATAGTTTCCTGTATGGATTTTGGGTTGGTGTAAACGGGCTTGTGTATCTACGTAGTACTAGTGATAATTAGTGCAAAAAGAAATTAGCAGTAGTAGTCTACTACTTGCTTCTCTTATCTCTGCTTGTGATGTGTGCAAGAGACCTGAAGACTGAAAATTTGCAGCTATATTTGTGCCTTGAGTCTGGTCCTTGGGTTCCTTTGTGTAGCATCTCTTCTTTTGGCCTTTCTTTTGATTGTTTGGTTTGGCATGTGTGCTTCCTCCTGCTAGGAAAGTAGAAATCTTTTCTTGCATTGCAGGTTTTGCTGCAGGTTATAGCTCAAGGGCAAATCTGACAAATTTGACCTGTGGACGAAATCAAATCACTGTCCGTGAAATTATTGTTTCACGCGGTTGATCTTTTTGTGTGACGCTCGACACGAAGGCGCCACACTACACTGTGCAACGCCTCACAGATAGGCGCTACACATCTGGCCAACGTTGCACCTCAGACTGTACTGTATAGTGTGGCGCCTAGCTCTCAGGCAATGCACTAGTAGTTGTACTACTAAATGAAGCAACCACTAGTGCAACGGCTAGAAGCTAAGCGTTACACTGTATAGTGTGGCGCCTATCTCTCAGGCGCTGCACATTGACTTAGTAATTTTCGGATGTAGTGTGGCACCTTCGTGTCGGGCGTTACAAAAAAGTCAGCCGTGTGAAATAGTTTCATAGGCAGTTCATTATGTGATTTGATTTCGTCTATAAGTTAAATTTGTCAATTTTGCCTAGCTCAAGTTGTTCGGATGCTTGTAGGATACTACATTGATGGAACCGGAGCTGTTTCTTTTCTTCGGTAACAAAATGGCGGCTATAGAATGCCAGTGGGCTCACACCGAACTCTCCTTCAACGGTAGTATCAATCTAATTATCTGCAGCGCTTATTTTCTATTCATTGACGAACAAGAGCAGCTGTTTTCCCTTTGTACAGGAAAACAAATACATATACAGCAGTTAATATTGCAAGATATAAATAAATCAGATGAAGAAAGACGGACAGATTTGTCTCCCGAAAATCATACAGTAGCTGCCTACAAGGATCATCAACTGCAACTGCATGCTTGTGATCGTTAGCGCCCGTCACCTTTTTTTGCAGTTACATAGAAGCTACTGTAGGTATGCTTTCGTTATCGATTAGAGAAATTTCAACGGGCCGACCTAAACGGATGGCCATTTCGTTTGCTTTTTGTCCTTTTGAATCGACCGCCCACGCGACGTCCATCCTGTTTTTCATATAGGTCGGCAGCGCGCCCAATACGCCGTCTCATATGTGCAGGTGTGGCCGGCTGGCCGTCCAATTTTGCATTGCATTCAATATATTGTGAAATGAAAATTTAACAAACAAAATAGTCCGCCCAAATAAATAGTATAGTTTACAGGCCAAATAAAAATAAAAATGTTTCACATAGTTTTACAAACGAATAAAAGAAAATGCATCTATTGGTTGCCAACATGAGTCCACATATGCTCAACCAAATCATTTTGCAGTTACACGTGAGTTCCTCAATCACGCATGTCTTCATGAAACTGAGTCAACTGCTCAAATGTTGCCGCTACTTCATGCTCAGGCACAACATTCTCACCCTGAAACTGAAAGCCTTGATCGTACAGACGTTCCGGGCGCTCGTCTTCTACGATCATATTGTGCATGATCACACAAGCAGTCATCACCTCTCATAGTTTCTACGTGCTCCAAGTATTAGCAGGATACCGAACGATGCCCCATCGAGATTGCAAAACGCCAAAGGCACGCTCGACATCCTTTCTAGCACTCTCTTGCTCTTGGGCAAATCTTTTCCTTTTCTCTCCAACAGGGTTGGGTATTGTCTTTACAATAGTGGTCCATTGAGGATAGATAACGTCACCCAAATAGTATCCTTTGTCGTAGTTGTGACCGTAGACAGTAAAGTTCACCGGTGGGTTGTTGCCTTCGGCAAGCCTAGCAAACACCGGCGAGCGCTGAAGCACGTTGATATTATTGTGTGATCCAGCCATGCCAAAGAAAGAGTGTTAGATCCAGAGATCTTGAGACGCCACGGCCTCTCGTATGACAGTACAAGCCCTGACATGTCCCTTATACGGCCCTTGCCAAGCAGAAGGACAGTTCTTTCACTCCCAGTGCATGCAGTCTATGCTACCAAGTATCACCGGGAAGCCCATGCTAGCATTCATCGCCAACAAACGGGATGTATCTGCAGCTGCCGGCTCTCTCAAGTACTCAGGGCCAAATACAGCAATTACAGCCTTGCAGAACTTATACATGGACTCTAGGCATGTAGACTCGCTCATACGGACGTACTCGTCAATGAGATCACCGGGCACTTCATATGCAAGCATTCGGATGGCGGCGGTGCATTTCTGATAAGAGGAGAAACCAATCTTGCCGACGGCATCCTCTTAGCACTCGAAGTAGTCATCATAGCCGACCACTCCCTCTCTAATACGGTTGAAAACATGCCTACTCACACGAAACCGGCGGCGAAATTTGTGATGTTTGAACAACGGGTTTATTGTATCAAAGTAGTCCTTTCAGAGAAGAAAATGCCCGCTCTCTCGGTTACGATTCAACGCCGGAAGGTGGCCCGGAATGGAGCCACGGAACAACGGCCGCTGGTTGTTGAGGTGGTGATGGATCAACACGGCAGCCAATATCTCCTCCTCGTCGTTGGACAACGAATCGTCGGAGTCGCAAATAAAATTGTGGAAAAAGAACTCGTCGACGGAGTCCATTTTTGTACCTTGGCAAACTGTCGAACAGTTTGCGGGCGTTGAAGAAGGAGACGGCCGGCGAGGGGTGACGCGGCGCCCACAGACCAGCTAGCTGCCCGGCCGGCGTCCGACGAGTGTGACGGCATCCGACGAGCGTGCCGGTCGTATGTGGCGGGGGCGGCGAGGCGTCTTCTTGGTCGCGGACGGCTGTGCGATGGGGGAAGCGGCGGCGGAAACTAGTTTGCTTCCCAGCGGCGGCGGGCGACTGGGGGCAAGGGCGGCGTTGCTGGGCGGATGTGGAGGCGGCGGCAGCTGGAAGAGTCGCCGCAAAAATGGGCGGCAGCGTCGGTGACGCAGGAGGCGGGGGGCGAAGGTTGCTTGTTGGACGGGGGGAGGGAGGCCAATGTGACACAGACCAGCGGGCCCGGGGACAGAAATAGACGATCGCGCGCGCGTTCATCGCGTTTCCGCGCCGACACAAATCAGGTTTAAAAATATGCCGGAAATGGGTCACCCGTAAACGAAAAGCGAACGCGTGTTCGTTTGGATCAGCGTGTTGGACCGCATTTTTTGTGCGTGCCGGCCCAAATGGACAGGGGCCGAAGAAATGAGTCACTTTATTGGAGTTGCTCTTAGGCCTTTGCCCCCTTCTCTTGATTTATTAGTATGTCACGCACTGGAGCTGAGCCGAGACGACAGGCGCAAGTACATGTCACGTGAGGGATGCCATGTGATGTTTACCCTTTTGCGCCTCGGGGCCAGTAATAAACACAATAGGTAATTTTATCAAGAAAGAGCAGAGGAGAACATGTGGTTAGCACTTCATCTACTGTTTACCTGGCACTAGTTTTACCTAACCAATGTAACCGAATAAACGGCCTTTCACCGCCCTGGCGCCAACCAATTGCCCGGAGCCGACGTCCACAAGACCCATCCGTGATGCAAGTTTAATTAACAGGGGCATTGCTATGTGCAATTTCAACACGGATCATCAAACAAACCTCATTAAATGTCCACGGGGTAGAGGATGCGCAATTTCAATTGGATTTAAAAAAAAACGATGAAGTTCCTGTAGACCGGATAATATTAGTTACATTTCAATCCATTACAAGGGCAACGCCACGTGTCGCCAGGGTAATAATCTAAAAAGGTCCACCACCTCCGCAACCGTTGGATGGAGCCTTGAATAGCTATCTGATTTCTGTCAAAGGAGACCTTTTTTGCTCGGCCTTTGCAACATGAGCCTTGTCGCAATCTTCCCGAACCGTTTTTTCCTATGAAACAAGACCCGTGTTGCGACTGGAACATTGACCATGTTGCAATCCTGGGCCAACAACCACAAACCAAAGCCTTTGCAACATGACCCATGTTGCGACTGCACTGGCCATGTTGTAATCCCGGGTCGAGCTTAACATCATCGGCCATGCCTGCCGCTCGTACTAACGGGTGATGTTGGTACTAAAACCGGCAGACCTCGGGGTAGGGGGTCCCAGGCTGTGGATTTCGGATCGATGGGTGACAAGGGACGAAGGTGGCAGTATTTACCCAGGTTTGGGCCCTCTCAAAGAGGTAATACCCTACGTCCTGCTTTGGTTGTATTGATGATTGTGTATCGAGTACAAGTTTGATCTACCTTGAGATCATAAGTTGTGTCCTAACCCTAGAGCTAGGTGAATGTGTTTATAATTGATCCCCCTCTATCGACTAAACCCCTCAGCTTATAGACACACCAAAGGGGGATACCTACGGTTACACATGGCGGCGGCCGAAGCTTTACTTGGAGTACACGTCAAGTCTTTGACAGAGTCTGCCTTGATCACATCGAGGTACGAGGCTTCCGGACTCCCTCCTTTTTTGCGAGAAAATTTTCGATCTATTCATCTTCAATCATGGCCGTACAACAAATATCAGAAATAATAAAATTACATCCAGATCCATAGACCAGCTAGCGACGACTACAAGCACTGAAGCAAGCCGAAGGCGCACCGCGGTCATCGCCCCTCCATCGCCGGAGTCAAGCACAACTTATTGTAGTAGACAGTCCGGAAGTCGTCGTGCTAAGGCCCCGTAGGACCAGCGCATCAGAACAGCAACCGCCGCAGATGAAGAATAACGTA